GACACGGTCTTTACCTTTATCCATCAGGGTAATTTATCACTGTCTTTTTTTTCTCCCCTTTTTGCGGTGATGAGGTGGCTTGTCAGTTCAGCTTGTTCTTAAAAAGCTAGAGTGTAATTCAATAATAAATTCACTCAAAGGCTAGCTGTCATGAGATATTCGTTTATTTGTACTCCATTAGATGATCTGCACTGCTGTTCTTTCTAAAGGGTAGCTAAGCTGCGTCTCTAAAGCCCAGGGGATGTATTGTATAGGTATTCTGTCATATATTTCATTCTGTTGCCACTTCTACACAGGCCATGTAGGAAATGCAAACGTACTGTGTTGATATGGTTCCACCAGGGATGATAAACACCTCCCTTCCAACAATAGCATTACATACAAACTCAAGCAATAAATAGACAGGGAGGGCTAGATTGTGGCTTTAGAAGCTGCTGCTGCATTAGTGGGAGGGCCACAGACGGGCATCACACCAGCCACAGTGGCTGGAGGCATTCTCCCCATGGAGGACAAAAGCAGGCAGGCAGAATGCCTTCTCCAGGGCGCTGAAGGCATGGACTGCACACAGAAACAGCAACCCTGCAGCACATTTTTAAAGGCTGCTGAGCGGACCCCTCCCCCTGCTCGGACCCACTCCCCACCCTGCTCCTGTTGGGATGCCCACTACTGCCGATTCCCCCTGCTCTGCACTCCGGGGTGCTAATCTCCCCCATGCAGGAGCCGACTAACTCCTACACTGATATGGGAGTTACCTGGATTGTGCAGAAGGTAAAACAGGGGCCAGAATTCTGATCACTTCCAGTGCAGTAGACAGACTCGCTGCACCCTCTCCCCATCCACCCCCATTGTGCAGGCAGACAAGACAGGCCAGGGTATGGCCCTGGAAGGGAAAAAGGAAATGGCTACATATGTCATCGCTTAGGAACAAATGCTACCACCCTGACTCACGCCAAGCATTACTTTCCTCTGCAAGCAGTCTCACTGATAGCAGCAAGATTATTATCTGCCTATCACACACTCGACACAAGCAGCGGGGAAGATTCAACAACAAGAATCTGTTTTCTGGATGTTAATGATAAATGGTGTGCATATGTGTGTCCCCCTATCAGCCCTGTGGAGTGGATCCCAGAGCACTTTACTGACCACACACATTTTCTCTGTGTAGGAATTACTGATAGTGCAGAGTTGCCACCTCTGGGGTGACAAGTGATAGCTTTAAACGGCACACAGCAACAGCACCCAAAACTTCAGGATAGCGAGTATCCTGTTAGTCCAGAACATCCCAATCCCCGTGAAAAGTGACCGCAAGGGCTCAGGACCCGAGTTTTACATCTCGTCAGAATAACAGCACCTCCAGCAGCTCAGTGTCACAAGTGTCCCTGATACCGTGCTGGGGCACTGGCCCGGCACTTGCTCAGAAGAAGAAGTACCCACCTACTGAGCCACTAACATCACTTTCTGCAGCACATGGGTTTTCCTTAGAGAGCTTCTACGCTAAGATCAAGGCTGTTTAACTTGTGAGATGTGATATCACAGCTGGAGGTGGCATGTCTGCAGGCCATATTTATTGATAATCACCCAGTGTTGATATTTAAAGAATAGCAAAATGTCATAAATAACTGATGTAATTGCAGAGCTCTTCATGCTGAAAGTAGATTAAACAGGAAGGCCAATTTACTAGTTCCAATGTTATAAATGAAAAATAATCAGTTATGAAACCTGTCCCATTAATTTTAATCTTTGCATTCCCTGTTCTAGCAAAGGAAGAGCTTTACGTGCCAGGGATGTTTGAAACCTCAGCCTTTTGGGTGGCAGATGTCTCTTTTGAGCTCACATCTTTCAACAGTAGGATATTTACATACTTGGAGGTGAAATCCACTCCTGAGCAGAAAAGAGAGCCAGCCCAAAGCCTATGAACCATTTAAGCCCTGTTTTTAAGGACTTAAGTGGCACTTAAGCTGTAACATAGATCTTGTACTGGGGCACAGGAGTGAATTTCACTCTCGTCATATCAGTACATTATTGGGCTGCTTCACCCACTATATGAATGGGTGACCTGAGTAATTCCTGGAATATCTGCTTGTTATTGAAAGCAGCGTAGGCTCTTAAAGAACACAAACAAATTGCATTGTAATATATGGACGGTAGAATCCGACAGTTCTTCAGTTGTCAGTGGGAAAGCTCATTAAACATGGACGTAATGTTGGATCTACATATAACAAATCTTCCTGTCCTTAAAAAATGTTGTTATACATGATCTGACATCAGATTCCCCTATAATAATGCTCGTGATTGACAGCTCAGCCTTGAGAAATGCTACCCCAAAAATATCATCTTGAAAATGAAATTTCTAGTATAATTTATTCCGTGTTCTGGTACATGCTTTTTACTGCAATAACTAAGAATCCTGGTATCTGACAGTTGAGGATCTGCTAAACTAACACTTAGGCAAGAGTCTGCACTGTTTAGTATCCAGCTATAAAATTTATAGTCTTCTGAAGACTGATAAAGATAACGTTGTTTGCTACATAATGATTGCTTGGCTTTAATCCAAAGGCCTGTAGTTAGCCTTCTTGGGCTTGGCAGAGAGGCAAATCATGGACAAGGGCATATCAGGCAGAATCACTGACACTGACGTACTTTTAAGAGGCTCACGTCTGAGGTCAGCTTCCAGGACCACTCTAGATGGTGAGTCACAGAGGGTGGTGCGCATGGGGTACCGAGGGCAATATCCTTTTGTCAGCTGATCCATGGAATAACCTGGGATCAGCTTCAACAGGGCCTGGGGTGGCTGTGGAATTGCAAGTATTGAATTGGCCCTAGGAGCATGCCAAATTAGGTGTTTACAATTCCAATGCATTTCCATGGCACAGCTACTTTCTCTGGGAAAGCGGAACATAAGGGATAATTAATTAGATTGAATTTAAACTCTGACACTGCCAAGTTTGATCAGAGATGTCTAGAACCCTTCCCATGATAGCTTCCGAAAGACAGAACTCAGAACATAGTGAATGATCACTGAATTATCAAGAATTCAGCAAGGCACTTAAGCATGTGCTTTACTGTAAGCACAAGTCGCCCCATGACTTCAACAGAACTATTCATGTGCTTAAAGTTAGGCATTCACTTTGCTGATTTGGGGCATGAACGGCAGACGTGATTCTTGCTGTTCCCTATTTCTGATGATGATGATGATGAAGAATGTCTCAGCATTAAAAAAATTCATCCTACTTTCTGCCTTACTTTTTACATTGAGAAATATCAGGCCTTCTCTATGCTGCAGGACCTTTTCAAGCTCTTTGAAGGCCTTTAATAGTCATATGTAACATGAGGCTGTAACTCTAGTTACAACTCCTTTCTGTAACTGAGATGGGAGGGGATGCAGAGTCTGTCAACTTGGGATTGCTGTTTTCAGGGCACTGTTGCAGAGCACTCTTGGAAAACTACATTCGTGTGAACAAAGGAAGCCAAACCCTGGACCAAGCTGGATTAATAGCACTCACTCACTGGCTTCTTTGTGAAAAAAGCAACTTGGGCCATTTGCACAGGAAGGAAGTGTCTTATTCTCCTGCTTCCTGCCAGTGCACCGCTGTGGCAGAGCAAGCGGAAGCTTAAGTAAGCAACTGCAAAGGAACCTTGGTACTAGAGAGCAGTGGTGAGCTGGAGCCGGTTCGCGCGAGTTAAATTTAGAAACCGGTTTAGAACTGGTTGTTAAAGGGGTGGGCAAACTCCGGCCCACGGGATCGTCCTGTCTGGCCCGCCTGAGCTCCCGCCTGGGGAGGCTCCCCCGGCCCCTCCCTCACCTTCCCCCCTCTCGCAGAGCCCGGCGCCAGTGCTCTGGACCACTCCTGGGCAGCTCTGCAGCTCCTGCCTCTTTGAGAGGCACGGTAAGGGGGTGGGGTTCCGAGCTCCAGCGGGCTGTACGGAATCCATACATGCTGCCCTGAGCAGCATGGTAAGGGGGCCGGGCCGGGGCTGGGAGGAGGGGTTGGATAAGGGGCAGGGAGTGGTTGGAGGGGGCGGAGGTTCTGGGGCAGGCGGTCAGGGGACGGGGAACTGGGGGGGGGTTGGGTACGCGTGGGAGTTCCAGGGGTCTGTCGGGGTGGTGGTGGATGGGGTCGGGGCAGTCAGGGGACAGGGAGCGGGGTGAGTTGGGTAGGGGGTGGGGCCCCGGGGGGCAGTTAGGGTGGGGGATCTCGGGCTTGTACTCACCAAGCGGCGCTTAATAACTGATTCCCTACCGGGTTGGCGGCGGCACTTCGGCAGCAGGTCGTTCACTCACTCCAGGTCTTCGGCGGCACTGAAGGACCTGGCGCCAAAGTGCCGCCAAAGACCCGGTAGGGACCCGGTTATTAACATTCTGGCAGCTCATCACTGCTAGAGAGCACATTCTGAGTGGGAAAACCACTTTCACCCAAGGTGGGGCATGGGCATGTAGTCTAAATGGAACACACTTCTGAATTAATTCTAAGGCCAACTGTGCGCGGTCTCACAGAAACCCACAGGTGGATTCTGACCCATGGGATACACCCTGGGATGAATGTAAGATGGGAGATAGAAAGGTTTCCTGAAAAGGGCTGACTAATAAAGGAAACAGATGGACATAGAATGAACCAGATAAATTAATTCCACTACTCTACAAAGATTAGCAGAGCAACCGAGTCTTACCATTAGAGGAAAGACTATAATGAAAAGCTGAACAGAGAGGGTATGGATTTGATAGTGCAGAAAAACGGCTCTGTCTCTTTAATTTCTCGATCTGTGTGTGCCTTACCCCTGGGAGGACCGTCAGCAGCTTTATATTAGTTATGAAATTCTTCAGATATCTATTTCCCATAGGCAGGCGTTTGGGACGGTAGTAATGACACAGTGTTTGTCTCCTGCATCTTTCTGCTGTTCTTTATTAGTATTTCATTGCACACAATTCCCCATTCTACCTCTGACTGGGAACGTAGGACTTGAGCTTTAATTCTTGTTTAAAATCCCCCCCAAACACTTACCCTCCATCGAATGGATTCTCTCCCGGGATGACGTGTGTGCTGTCCTTGCCAATCAGGAACTTGATTCGATCATAGAAAGAGTGCAAGTTCTGTTGGGATGTGGGGGTTTGAGTCTCCTGTATGATATCCAGGGGGTCAGGTGAGCCCAGGCACAGTGGGTTAACATGGCACAAAGGCTGCAAGCAGCAATCTGGGTCCATACAGTCCACCAAGCCATCTGCAGAAAGGAAAGGGAGATTTGAGAGCAGCAGTGACAAGGTGCGTGAGACACATCCAAGTGGCCAGATCCCCTGCTCGTGGACCTTTGTGAAGCTCTGCTGATTTCAATGGAGTGACACAGATTTACACCACCGCAGGGTATGGCTTGTTGTTTTAAAAGCTATTTGAATGGAAAAGATGAAACTCAAGATAGCAGATTTTTTTTAAAGAAGGAGAACTGAAAATCTCAGGGGATTGATAATAGGATACAGAATTTTTCACCTCGCTCTTGGTCACCCCGTCAAATTCAGACAGGCTCGTAGCAAGTGAAGGCTGTTACCATCTGATGGCTGTTCTTAGCTTATGTGAAATGAGTCTGGTGCCTCAGGCCTGTTCCCTAGAGACAGGAATCTAAACCTCGACCCCCACACCTGGTGCCATCAGTTCCATTTTCAGCAGACACTCAGGGCTAAGCAGGCACTGAGGCCCAGATCCTTCACTGGTACAACTCACCATAGCTCCATTGAAGTTAGTGGAGCCACCTGCTAAAGCTCCGTGCTGGAAAGCTGAACTACAGTCTCACACTTAAAGGAGTGGTCCCTGCAAGATTCAGTGGTGGGGAAAGGGATAAAGCGGGCCTGCGAGGGGAAGTGTGCTCTGCGTCTGCTTGTGCCGTACCTATTCTCTGGATCAACAGAGGGCTTCACACTCCCCGGCTGTCAATCCTGTACCTTTCACCAGCACTCAATTTGCGATAAAAATAGCACTAGCAGTCACATGCACGAGGAAAGCCTACTAAGCATATTTTACTAGAATTAAGTATTGTTGTTTGCCAAGCAACCATGTGTGTAAACAGAAGCATCTAATTTCCACAGGACTCTTCCTCTCTTCCCCAATACGTTCTGTGATGCCACAGTTCATCACAAACATCTTGGTAATAAACAACGACAGGGAAGGAAATGCAAAGAAAAAGCGTGATAGCTCTGTGGGGGTTTGGTGAAGCATTACATTCAAAAATAAAAGTAGTTAGCATGCACTTGAGATGGATTCTTAAATCAGATTAAGGGACTAGACGTTTGGGGCTCGGTTAATGGGATATGGAGCCCTTCACTTCTAAGTCATCAGTTCAAATAAGGCAGTTTGATAGGGAATGAAAACTGTTACCATGTGATGGCTGCTCAGAGGCTTACGTGAAATGTACGGTGCTGTCAGACCAACCCCTAGAAGCGATCCGTATCAGCCAAACCACCCTCAGTAGCTAGTATCCTATTGGCAGTCTCAGCACAGAGTCAAAAACTGAATGTGCATGGACAGTAAAACTGTCCCTCAGGTGGCAGGACGGAATATTTTCAATTTCTAAGAAATTATTGCAAAATAAACCAAATCAGCTTGCCTTTACTACACACTGTGTGTCACGGTCTGAGCCCAGTTGCACGGACATAAATCAGGAGACATTCCCCTGACTTAAAGCAATTATTCCAAATTCACACCGGGGTAACTAGGAACAGAATCTGGCCGATTGTGTGTGTGTGTGCGTGAGAGAGAGAGAGATTTTAAAAAGTGGTCAGTGTTGGCTAATTGCCATTGATATTAATGGGAGCTCATTTAGGCCACCGCTGAGTGCTTCTGAAAATCCAATCTATTACCTCTCTTCCTGTCGGTACTTATCTCTCTCTCTATAACTCCTTCCAAATTGTCATGACAATGCACCAGCTCACACACAAAATCTGCCCATCTGCCTTGTCTCATGATGAATGATGATAATGACAAAAGTACTAACTATATTTTAGCTGCCCATCAAAAGAAACAGATGATTGGGCTAGTAGGATTTTGCAAGGTTGAATCTCAGTTGGAATCTGAGACACAGTTTAAAAAATAAAGAACGGTGTAGCTCTAATATGTCTATCTATATCTAGCTTTTTAAAAAAAAACAAAAAACCCCACCCCATTACTGTAGAGATTACAGCTTCAAGTGAGATGACACCTTGTCATTTGCTCCCACACATTAATAATGTTTTCTAAGGCTGCAGACACTGTAGTGAGAGGCTGGCAAACCTGCTGTACCATACCTTTTCATTACCCTGTCTTTATTTCAGACATGAGAGCTGCAGTTTGGGATTTGAAATTGTAAGATGGCAAGGAATTTCTGTCTTCACAGAAAGCTGCAGATGTGTGTTTCAGGAGCAGATACACAGGAGAATATCTCGCAGATGCAGGAATGCTGGGAACCAGGCTACAGATTAGCTTTTCTCCTAATACTTTTCAGTCCTTGTTTTCTAAGTTGGGTATAACTACACCAAAGGACCATGTCACTGACATCTTATAGCCCTTAAGTTCCCTGTGAGTTGAACGCAGATTTAGCTACTCAACTCTCATTGGCTTTAATGGAAGCTATAGTGCTAAACTTCTTTCAGCTTGGAAAATGTAGAGACTGCTTGTGTCTGAGACGTCCCAAAAACCTGCAAGAGTTAAAGTACAAACCAGATAATAAATAACGATGTTCAGCCACCCATCCAAGTATCTTTTTCGTTTGTTTTTTACTGTAAAAAAGCCCATCAGTTATCAATGTGGTGTCTTTCAGTGAACGGTAAGAAGAAATAAAGGATGTTGCATACAGCTGTGTCTTCTCACATCCTGTGAGCTCTTACTTTCCCTGTCAAAGTCGTAAGGATAAAGTGACATTTATGAAGAGCCCTCCCAACAAAGCAAGTTGCTCAGGGAGCTACACAGATGAATAAAAACAAATTAAAATGCAATAAAAGCCACACGCCGATAATCCAAGAGATGAAAACAAGTGAAGGGGTGCAGTATGAAAAGAGAGGCAAAGAGACTCGGGGAAGAAGGTATTGACAAGGCCAGATGGGTCCTACTCCAAAACACCTTTGATACACACAACGGCTGGAGGTGTTTTTTTAAAGGTGGGATGATGGACTGAGACAGAAATGAGTACTGCACCCTACAGTCAATTGCAGCAAAGGCACGCTGACCTGAGAGGTCTGACAGAATTCCTAACAGGTGGATGGTGTAAGAGCATAACTATCCGTCAGAGGGAGACTCAAGGAAGAGGTCTCAAATATGATCCATGGGCTTTAAAAACCAAGGATGCCAATTTAAAGTCAATCCACTGATGTAGGGGGCAGGGTACACAGTGGCCATAATATGCCCCGGGTTGCACAGATCAGTAAGTGAATTTGTTGCTGGATCCTGAACCACGTGGAGGGAATTACAGTAATCAAACCACGAGGCATGTATTGTTGTTGAAAGGTTACCATCAGGTAACTAAAGTTGTAGCCTGTGGAGATTGTGACACCAACATTTTTCTACCACGTCCACTACGTAGTGCATCCCTTGGGGGAACAGCTTCAAAAATAACCACAAGATTCCTCACTTGACTCTCTAGCTTCAATGAATCCCTTCAACTAGGGGCAGACACGAAGGCGGAACTATATTGCCAGAGGGACAATCTGCTCAGCAGCATGACTTCTGCTTTCCTGGCACCGAGAAAGAGGCCGCTCCCAAGCATCCAGCTGGCGTTGTTCTGAGACTTTAAGGCCAGAAGAGACCGTGACAATCATCTAGCCCGATGGTCTGAATAACACAGGCCAGATAATTTCACCCAGTGATTCCTGCATTAAGCCCAATTAATTTGCGCTTGAGCTACAATACATCTTTTAGAAAGCCATCCAGGATTGTTTTAAAGACTTCAATTGATGGAGGATCTACCTTGTTGGGAAGCTGTTCTGAAGGGTTACTTGGACCATACACTCTTTGGGGGCAGGGACCATCTTTTTATTGTCTTTATGCAGCACCTAGCACAATGACTGGGGGCTCAATACAAGTAATAATAAGAAGAACAATCAACTTCACTATTAAACACGTGTGCCCTATTTCCAGTTTGAGTCTGTCTAGCTTCAACTTCCAGCCATACTGGTTTTAGCTACTCAGTGCAAACTTTCATCGAAGGGAGAACCGGGACTTACCAATAAAGATACATAGGACCCTGCATTAATTAGGCCACCAAGCTACTACTGTCTAGAAACGAGACAGGTGACAAAGAAGGGAGTGCTCCCCTCAGTGCCTCACCAGCACGCTGGGGTGACACTTAAACCCATGCGTCTGCATACACCTCTTTCTCCATCGCACCCCACTGAGTCTTTACCCTGGGTGAGAGTGAGGGAGTACGCATAAAAAGGGGCATGGACTCTGCAGAGCAAGATTTCTCAAAATGACAAGTGATTCTGGGTGCCTCAGTGATGGGATGCCAAACCCAAGACCCCTGAAACAGGTTAGATTTTCAGGTGTTGGTGGCTCAGCACTTTCTAAAAGTGAGGCCCCTTTAAAGTGACACAAACTGGGCACCCATAAATCGAGGTGCCCAAAATCATTAGTCACTTTTGAAAGTCTAGGTCACCATGTTCAATGCGGATGACTATGCTAACCCTGTTCCTTATTTGCATCCCTGGGATAGCTTCCAGGTTAGCTGGAACACAGCCACCTTGCTTTCTCTACCTGCTCACCATGCGAAGTCTTACAGAATCAAGGCCACAAGTAATTTTCTTTTAAAAAATGTTTTGGGTGGTTTATAACAACAACATGGAGTTCCCAGTCTGGACTCCGACCTCCTGGTAGCTAGCTGGACGGAGCACTTGCATACGCATGCCAGGGGAGAATCCTGGATTTTGATGCCCTGCCCTGCCCTTCCCTCCTAAGCATTCTGGAAGGGTTAGGCTGTTGAGCAAACAGAGATGCTTTGTGGCTATACAACATCGCCTGTGAGCTTCCCTGTCTGGACTCTAATTTCTCTCAAAGCCCTCCTTGCTGAGATGGGATTAAGAGCCAGAGGCGCAAAACTAGTCATTAACTTCTAGGAAATGATCTGTGTGTTGGGCATTATTGCTTACAGGGAGAGGCAAACTTCAATTTATTTCTCAACTTTGATGAAATAAGTGTGAAGTATTTTTTCCCCAGTACTAAAAATACGGGTCACATTCACACCCACAAGTGCATCGCAGGGGAATT